ATTCCCCGCCAGCCTGCCACTCGAGGCTGGGCAGTCTCGAGCCAAATGTCCAACTTCTCCACACCGGAAACATCCCTCATACCTTGGTCTCCGCCAGCGCTCCTTGGCTGGTCGAGCTCGACTAGCCTCCGGCTTCTCTGGCGCTGCCACCTTTTCTCCCAGCTCTGCCGCTCGGGTACTTGGGCATGGGGGTAACACCGTTGCTGGCTGTGGACCCAGCACTTCCTCAACTCGCTCAGCCTCTCTCAGTGCTTCGCCCACGCTGTGAGGCGCTGCCAGGTGAACTTGCAGGCAGAGCTGCTCGGGAGCGAGGTCGCGCAGGAAAGCCTGGAGGCCCAGCTCGTGCTTCACCGTCGTGGGGAACGTTGCGTAGCCCCGTCCTACCAGCAGCTGCAGGTCCGTGGCATAAGCTCCCAAGCTCTCTCCCTCCCGTCGTTGCCGAGCCACCAGCTCTTCCCTGGACCTTTCCGCTGTCACACTCTGCCCGCAGCGCCAATGAAGTGCTGTCTTCAGGGCGGGCAGGTCAGTCTGTTCCTCCGGGGAGAGGTCGAGAAGAACCTGCAGTGTGTCACCCTCCAGGGCGAGTGCCAGCCGCACTGCTGTCTCCTCCTGATTCCATCCTCCGTGGCAAGCTGCAAGGTCAAGCTGAGCCAAGTACGTTTCAAGCGGTGTCAGTCCTCCGTACCTGGGCAGCTTTAGTTCTGACCTCGGTGGCAGGCGCGACTCACCCTCGAAGTTCAGTACTGCCCTGGCTGCAGACAAGCCTGACATGTGGCTGCTGGCTCTCTGTCGGGCTAGCCGTGGCACGCTCGCGCCGTCTGGGTGAACGCCGGTCCTTGGCTCTAGGTGTAGCCTTCTCTCCAGCCATCCCAGCTGGAGGGTGTTCTCCTCTATCTCCCTCTCTAATTCGGCCAGACTCCTCTCCATGTCGCCGTTCAACGAGCGCGTATTCCCACTTCTGTCACCAATGTGGCGACCGCTAGCTGGGTTGAGGAGAGCTGGTCTGATCCTAACCTAACTGTGCAACTAACTATCCAGCTGTGTGCTGGCACCTAGACTGACAATGAGGAGAACACCATCTCTGTCTTTTCTCGGCTTTATTCAAACATACAAGAGCAAGAAAGAAAAGGGTTGCAAAACACAGCACTATGTGCTCACCGGAAAACGTAACAAAACAGAACATTACAGGTCTCGCCCGCCAACAGAACCAACGCAGCACGCCCACCTGTCATCCCTCTTATACCCTCCCGCACCTGTTCCTCCCCCCATCCCACATTGGCCGGAACAGCGCGGCATAAGAAAAAACAAAAAACATAGGCGGCTGGTCAGGGCCGCCACAATATTGATCTTAAAGCTCTTCTGTCACAGCATGCATATTTTTTAAAGAGATTGTTTGGTTGCACATATTTCCTATTTTGAATGCACATTTTTATTTTTACTGTTAACTTTACTGTTAACAGATTAAAAAAAAATTTCTCTATATATTTACTGCAAGTTGTGAATTTACATTTACATATTTGATTTAGGTCAGTTTTCTAAACATTTTGAGCAGTTTAAGTAGCCTTCATATTCTTGATGAGACTTTTAAATCCAAAACTTTAATTTTTCTCACTTTGATTACAATAAAGCAACAAAGAGTAATGGATAAATTACATCTAGCTTAATATATTTAAGTGGCCTCTTGGTAATGAAACCCAAAGTTTGGGAGGGTGTATGGCCTCCATAATCATTGAGCTATTATTTACTGTTATCAGCACAGATAGCTAGAGTTAACTGGAGTTACATACTGGAAGATAACTTTAGTTTTACATAAAACTGCAAAAAGATTTTTTTTCAAGCTACTGATTTGTTATTTTATGATTTTGGCTTTGCAAACAAATTTTCATAATGATTTCAGTTATTTCGTCCCGTTTAACTAGGAGTGTGTGCCTTAAACCCGTGTATTTTTTTAAGTGGCCACCATGTGTAAATATAATTACATTTAAAATTCTGCAATTCCGAAGTAGCTTCCGCGTTTAGACGACGAGCTTTTATTGTGAAAGTGACGCTCGGACGCGGTGCGTGTTGTAGCTGAGGAGCTTAGCGCTGCTCTGGAAGGAGGGACTCCTTGACTGCAGCGACCGCAATTTCGGCAACATGGGAGACGTTGTGGAATTTATTCTAAACGGACATTAAGAACCATCGGCAGAATGGCAGAGAGGTGAGTTTGACGCATATGTTGTGCATTTTCTCTTCAGCGCCTCCTCCCACAACAGCGGGGGGGCAGCCAGCTCAGCGACGAGGCTAACCTCAGTTCGTTTGGTCGCCGTGCTGGAGCGAGCGTTAGCTAGCTCGCCACATTATTCACTCACACGATTCAGTAATTTTCATAACCAAAGCATGTCTGCGAATTCCGGCTTGTTTTCTGTGAGCCCATTGCGTTGTTAATTGTTGGGCCCGGGCATTTTTCTCCGGGTAATGTTCAAGGTGGAATGAGGGGTAGAGGATGCTGTACTGCTGGCTGGTGATGCTGTTGCACCTGTCGGTCTACATCGTCGTCTCTTTCCTGGAATGCAGGCAGCTAACCTGCTCCTGTAGCTGGATGCTAGCAACAGACCTGCATATGGATCCATTCTCAGTGTGGGGTGATGCTTGCCAGGTTATCCAAATGGTCCCTCGGCGCATCCCGCATTTTCACGATGGATGGAGGCGCCTCGAAGATGAGGCACACGAAATGGAGAAGTGTGGCACCGTCTGCGTCCTTCTACCTTTCTAACACGATATTTCGTAGCCTTGTAGTTGTCAAGACCCAGAAATACACTGGTTCCCAGCCTGTGCCCTAATGAGTGTCCGTGTCTCGCGCACAGAGAAAACGTAGCACCAAATGCCCTTACAGATCTCTTGGTTTCATATCAACTTGCTTTCTGTCAATCACATTATTTTTTAACTACCAGTTTTAAATCCACAACGCCCTGTGGGAAGTTCAACATGTATACAATAAACCAAAGAAAGGGATTAATACAGTAAAATGTAAATTTTCAGATCTGTTATTGGCTGTAACCCCGTAGTGGCAGAGAGAGGTGGCCAAGAAGAAGTTAAACTGGATTAAGAGTTGCTTGGTTTAATGGATCATCTTAGTATTCAGTAATGATGCCAAACAATGTCCATGCTGTAACTCACAACTGCCCAAGGAAACCATTAAAAGTTGGAGTATGAATTGAGTTTGGCCTTACTGCAACAAAGTCTAGCCTCCCTGACCCTGCACAAAGCATAAGATGGCAAAACATCAGTTGTCTTTAAACTGAGTGTGTGGGCCCCATCTTGAATATAGACAATGGCAGTTTGTCCCCAGCAGCAAGCAAGCTCATAGATCTGAGTTAATAATTGATGGCGGATAAATTTGTGTTGCATGGGTCATTTGGCCTCATATAAATCGCGGTTACAGGTCTGTACAGCAGGCTCTGGAGCGTTGTATATATGCTGGCATGTCTGTCGGAGTCCTAGCAGAGATCAGAGACTTGGTTCACTCAACCCACAGGTTGGTCAGAATGCAGTAATAATTGATGGCTAATGAGGCGGTATTTGGTCTTGTGATCAGATGTTGTAGATTACATTATATTTAAAAACTTTGGTTATTTATGTATTTTGTACAATCAAGGAAAAAAGCATCAGAACTATTGGAACCAATCCCTATCTATGGTAGGCTGGCATCGTGTCCAGGGTGTACCCCTCCTCTCGCCCAGTGCCAGCTTGGATAGTATGGACTGAACCTAACCCCAGGTTGTGATCAGGACGAATGTGACCATATCCCTCTGGGAATATTGTAATGGCGTACAACACAACAGACTGAAGGAAATGTCACTCTTCAGTGTGGCTTATTGTTGGGTGGGTTAGGGTAATGAGTCATGCTAACGTGACTGCTGCTGATATCCCAAAGCATTCGTTTTTGTGACTGAAAGCTGTTTGCTTGACTTGAAAGATGTAGATTCAGCCAGTCTTGTCAAGGTGATGAGAGGATGGTGTCACTGACTGGCACGCTGTTTGAGTTAATGCATTTATTTGTACACCAGCGCTGAATTTTCTTGGATAGCCTATTCGTGAAGACATTTTTTCTGACAGGAAATTTTGTAAGAAACCTTACAACTCCAAAATTTTGACTTGGTGTGATAATACTTTTAAGTGTCAAAACTGGTTTGTTGTTGCTACTTTCACTCAGAATGATCACTCTCCAGATCCTTTCGGTAGCCTTCAGAATTTTATGTTTGCAAGTTGGTCACACATACATATATACAGTGTAAGTTAATCTATGTCTGATTGCAGCTGCTGTCCTAACTCGAGTCTCAGCATGTAGTGGCTGCACTGATTTCCATTCTGTTGAGCTACTGTAAGTGGAGGAAATATGTGCACTCTCTCTACCAGCATGATTGCTTAACAGTACCACTAATAATTACTTTTAAAAGAAACTGTGAACAGGAATCTTCATGTGTGGTTGCAGCAGGTATGTTTTGGCCACTTATTCACAAGAATAAAAGTAATGCAGAGGCCAGTGAAGAACTAAAGCGCAACGTGAGGTACATCAACAGCTGATGGTTTTTATTGACAGTGTGACTGTTCCTAATATCTTAAATGATCAGTGCTGAACGTGAGACCAGGACTCCACAATGGACACGTTTGCATGTCTGGCAGGCAGCGTGACATTTGATACCAGCTGTAGGGTGGGGCACTGTGCTCATGTGTTGTGGCAGTATGTGGCTGAAATATTCATATCAGCACATTTGAGCCACTTGGGGACAAACAGGTTCTGTATTCAACATGAACAAAAATCTAGCTTCCAAACACTGCTGTTCTCCCCGCAGACATGTAACAAGGTGACACACCTGATCCCACTGACGCAGCCCGCTGTGATTGAAGAGCCATTATTAACACTGGGCAGTTAGTTACATAAAAGCAGTAATGATGCAATGTAAAATGGTTTTAGATGAGTGTCATGTAAAGACACTGTGTTGTGGCATTAGGACTCTCTACAGCCGCTGTCACTGTAGCTAGCAGTGATGTACAAAGGATCAGCAGGTGACATTATTGGCTGAGTAGTAAGAAACTAACATTGTTTTTGTTAACCATGTCTGATAATGCAGAAGGTTGGCTGCAGACGAACCCTGGTTCTGAGGGGAGATTTCTGTCTCACTGTGTCAGAGCCCGTTTCAATGGGGTGGGGCCGAGCTCCCCACACACACACACACACACACACACCCACCCACACCCACCCAACAGAGGACAGAATGAAACTTTATCTTATTCTGGAGTTGATGTGCAAGTGATCCATAAGTGCAGCAAAATCTACCAGTAAGGGAAATAAGTGACCGCTAATTTTTTTTAATAAGTAGAACATTACACTTGTTCTCCATAATGTTTGTGTCAGATTACCAGGAAATGCTGGACCCAAGTGCACGACTCAAACACACAATGTAAAAGTGTAAGAGATTAATTAGAGGGCTACAGCAGAGAAGCAAAGCCACTCTGCGGTAAAGGCATTTCTGGATCGTCAGTCACTGTTCTACGGCTATCCTGAGAAACACAGATGGCTGGTGAGAAGCAGAATGACACGAGGTCCGATGCTTTCAGATTTAAGATGCATAAACCTCACATGTGTCTCCAGACCAGGCGTGGCCCTGCTTAGCTTGGAAAAAACAATGAGATCAGGCGTACTCAGAGGATAACCTCAGCGGGCAGGTTGTGAGGACCTCGTGGAGGGGACCCCTGGACAACAGACCATCAGGTGAGAAGTGCAAACCCCACTGGGTAAGACCACTAAATGGGGAGCAAGGCTGTAGGACACAGAGGCTGAACAAAACACTGAATAGTAACAAGCAGCAGCTAGGAAGGTTCCGGTAGGCATCTCCCAGGGGAACCAAGATGACTGGCCAGAGCCGGGTGGCAGAGTGCAGGAGAAAATACAGGGGACTAAAGTATACAATACTAAATGCCGTCTCCACAGGCCTTCACAGGTGTTGGAGGATCAACACAAAAGTATGCATGAAGCAAACGTACAAACAAAAACAGTCATCTTCAGCTGTGCAGAAAAACAAACTAACCTCTGAATCAGAATCACCTTTATTGGCCAGGTGTGTCAGACACACGAGGAATTTGACTCTGGTACAGCAGCTCTCAATGTGCATGTAAAAGACAAAAATACATTAATACAGAGAAGGCAGAGGCACAGATAGACAGCATCCAGGTGTAGGGCTCAGAACAGGCTCCAAGAAAATCCAGGATAGGCAGACAACTGACAGCACAGGCAAGAGCTGTGGCAGGCATCGGATCACACCAATGGATACAGGTCAGTTCACAGGCAACACAGGAGTCTTTGGGGATGGACTCCCCTTTGAAGCCAGCCTCAAGCGACCATTTGACAAACTACAGGTTTTGGCACTTCCACATTGGGGTCATTTGGGAGAGTCAAAGTCAGGCAGGGTGGAATCAGGTAGTAGGCTGCAAGCAGGCGTTGCACAGGTAGCTGGTTCCAGGCAGGCAGAGATCTGGTTCAGAAAACAGGAACCACTCACTAGAACAACAAAAAGCCAAGGCTGCGTCCGAAACCGCCTACTACCATACTGTATAGTAGGCGAAAAGCAGTAGGCGAGGCGAGTAGTATGTCCAGATTCGTAGTATTCCAAAAACAGTAGGCGAAAAGTACCCGGATAACCTACTGCTTCCGGTTGGATTTTGCAGTGTGCATACGATGGACACTTCACTATCCCATGATGCCCCAGGAGAGGAGTTATCCAACGAAGACTTTACGGGCTCTTTAAATTTTCGCGCTGCTATGAAAACGTGATGTATCAACATGGCGGATGTAGTACGTCCGAATCTCATTTATACTACCAGGCTTCATACTATACAGTACCTCCTGTTTTAACGGTCAGTAAGTAGGTACTTCATCTCTTTCAGTACGTACTGTCACAGTATGCGGTTTCGGACGCAGCCCAAGTAACTAGCTGACACTGGAGTAGAGGGAGGCAGGTTATATAGGCTGGGTAATGAGACACAGGTGAGACAAATCAGCCACTGACTGGCTACTGTCAAGCTAGGGAGAGGGTAATGGTGAAAACCCCAGAAGTGTCCTTCAAAATAAGAGTCTCAAACAGAAAGTTAGGTGTGGAACACAACAGTTTTGAACAAATATCCATCATTTGTACACTTGCTTCTTTACTCCACAAATTC